CATGAAAAATGCATGTACCTCAAAAGTAACCAAGTCATGAACAGGATTTGCCAAACTATACAAATACATGAATATATGTTATAGAAGATGATCATTTAAAACACGTTTTGTTCTGAGTTTCTAAACACATCCTTCATGTGATAGAAAATAGCTAGAATTAGTGCAAGGAGCCTTACTAGTACTTGGTCCCTGGTGACAAGGCGAGGTTTTGAAGTGCAGTCTTGGCTGGATTTATTACCAGCAGTGTCCCTGCTTCCCAGACATAGGCACAGGGACTCCCTATCTCCCTTTGTATTGAGCCCTCAGGGGAGGTGTTAAGTGTCATCAATTAATCACAGGTAAAACAAATAAAGGTAATCTTATTCATGGTCCTACTTCAGAGAATGGAGGTGTGAGGAGGAATTAAGAGGCTTTTAATTGAGAGTAACTAGCTGACTGAAAGTGACAGCTTAGTGTGTGAGCTGTTGGACAAAGGTTGAAAGCAACTCTAAAGCAATCCCCAAGCAACTAACTTTTAAGTCTAAAGTTCATTGAAACTACAGAATAGTTGTTCATCCAGGAGCAATTTTGCCCTCTAGGGTACCCAGGGGTGGGGTGTGAGGTGGAGGGTTGTTACTAGCCTCTGGTGGGTAAGATCAGAAATGCTGCTGAACAGCTTAAAGTGCACAGAAACTCCTGTGTATTTACGAAGGATGATCCAGTCTCACACATCCAAAGACCCTGCTATAGAACCCTGTGGTATGAACTTAGTGGTATAGCTATGGTGGTATGTAAGAAGAAAATGTACTTGCTATTTTATGGTTCTTAAACAATATGAGAATTTACTTAAGATATGCCATAACTGTCTCTGGTTTAGTTAATATGATGTTTCAAAATATGAGAAAGGACACATGAAATTAACTAGTAGAAGGTTACTACAGAGAGATTCTACTGGTCAGAGCAGTAAAATTGAATTATAATTGCTAAACATTACTTTAGAATTTCTAAAGTTGGAGTGAGTTATTTTTGTATTACCTCCGTGTGCCCTTTTTTTTTCTAAATTCCCACTGACCAATGCTCAAGATATTAGTTTTGAGTGTTTCTTCCTTAAATTTCTCACTGGCATACCCCACAAACCTTTATGAGGCATTTGATTAGTTGTTTTTTTTTTTTAAGTAATTATAGCAGGAGAAATGCCTATTTTTATGTTTATGTTACTCAACATTTACATGTCTTTGTTCTTCTTGTTTCTTCTCTAAGGCTTATATTTTCATTTCTAATACTGCAGTGAACTGACTAAATGTCTTGCTATTTATCCTCAATAAGGTATGAGGTCTATGAGATAGTTTGTGTGGAAAAGAAGTTGCCTTGGTGGTTATTAAGAGAACCCTCAGGTCTCTGGACTCCCATGTAGTCAACTGCGTTTCGCATCCCGGACCCAATGGCTTAAAACTCACGCTGGGTGCGTGTGTATGTGTGCCCAAGATCCCGAGAGTAGAATGGAGAAGGGATTGTGGCATGGCCATCCCGCCTGGGGGGTGATTTCTGACTTTCTGTCTGTCTCTCTCTGTCTGGCGATGCATCCTATAACAAAAACCAAGCCAAAAAAAAAAAAAAAAAAAAAAGGAGAGAACCCTCACAAGATTTCACAATAGATTCCATAATAAATAAGATAGAAAAACCCAAGTTTATTCTTTCAAAATTAAATATAGATGGTAAAGTAGAATGGAAACAAAATTCAAACCCAAGATATATTAACTCTTCCTCATAGTAGAGTCATTTGAAGGGAATAAGAATTGTAGAGGGCAGATAGACGTGGAATATATGGCTCCTTCTTCTTCCTGTCAACTTTAAATGGGAAGAAAAGAAAAATAAATAACCAAGGCCAAGAACAACAGCTGAGCAATACCAAAGTGGCTAAAAAAAGTCCATCTGGAATCGAACTTTTGCCTGAGACTCATAGAACCCGTTGTGAATTTTGAAGCAAAGTTAATATGAAATATAAATCACAAAAAGTTGCAGTTGAGTTGGCATTAAATTATGTATTTATTGGAAGAATTAATGATTACTTATTAAAATAAATTGTAGTAAAGTTTTTTTTTAAGTCATTTACATTTACCCAAAAGATGTTTTCTTATCTCTCCTCACCCCTCAGCCCTCCAGGAAAGCTTGCAAAAACAAAACAAAAGTTTGCAAAAACAGAATAACAACAGAAAAGATGGAAAAGAGAAGAAAGAGGAATTAACTTTTATTGCATGTTCCAACAGATTCTAGGCATTGTCCTATGCATTTTCCCCAGTAATTAAATAGTATCTTTTGTCCGAAACCTACCCTTCCTTTCTCTGCTTTCTGATGCTGGAGAACCAGAAGCCCAAGAAGAGTTTCAGGATGGGGCAGATTGATTCTTCCTGTTTTCTTGCTCTTCCTGATGGTGTGATTTTAACATAGACAATTGGTTCTAGTTTCATGTTTACCTGCACTGCCAGAACCAGCTGTATCGTGCTCCTCAACACAATGTCCTGGAGGAAACGGGCAGTGTATCTGTCAGAGATCTGAGTGCCACTGTAGGAACTGCCCTGATAAGCCCCACATTCTAATTATCCAAACCTCCTTTGATTTCAAGACTCCAGGGGTAGCAATAGTTTCTGCATTTATCATTTCTGGGTTATTTCTACATTCCCTTTCATCCTCTCTCTGTTCTCGAACACCTGTTAGGACAGTTTCCTTGCTTATACGCTCTCTGTTCAAATGACTAACAGGTGTGTTTTCTTTCTTAGCCTCTGATGGGTACCACTTGTTACATAAATTGTGCCCATTTCGTAAATCACACCATCAGGAAGAGCAAGAAAACAGGAAGAATCAATCTGCCCCATCCTGAAACTCTTCTTGGGCTTCTGGTTCTCCAGCATCAGAAAGCAGAGAAAGGAAGGGTAGGTTTCGGACAAAAGATACTATTTAATTACTGGGGAAAATGCATAGGACAATGCCTAGAATCTGTTGTTACATAAATTGTGCCCATTTCGTAAATGGGTAAACCGAGCACAGATAGGTTCAGTAATTTACCTCATGTTTCTTAGCTAGCATGAGGCTTAACTAGAATGTGTACCCAAGTCTGTAAGCCACATTCTTTCCTAATATTTCAGGAAGAATCAGAGAAGAGGAAAACCATAAGAGATGACAGATGTGTGTTACCAAATTTTAAGAATGTTAAAATATAAGAATAAAGCCACAAGGATTCTGACTAATCATTTCTCTCTCTCTCTCTCTCTATATATATATATATATATTTGTTGAAGTTCTGATAAGTAGCAGTTAGATCTGAGAAGGAGCAATTAGATGAATTACTAGTTCCTTTGCTACAACTTTCAGCCCAGTGATTAGATCTCCCTACAAACCAATGGAAATATGACTTACAAACATCGCCAGTGTTTATAAGGCTGTTATCATTGAGAGCCTTAATGAGAAAGTAGTTTGTATGGAAGAATAGAGGAAAAGTAAGACCTCATTGATTCATAAGTGAGTGACAGGAAAGACTTAGAAGTGAATCACTGATGGAATGAGAGTTTGGAAGGATGGGATGCAGAGAACAAGGACTGACTAGTCAGGGAAGGGATGCAGAGAATAGGGCCTGACTGGTCTTTTATAAGAGAGACTGGTTTTCATATTGGGAAAAAAACAAAAGAGGATGGAAGTATTTGTAAAGGTGCATTGAGAGATATTATTTGTAAGAACATCTGTATTTTCTATCTGTGGATAGTGAATGAGACAAAAAAGTTTGAAAGAGAAATATAGGTTTGAATCAACTCTACAGGAAGCCAAAACAGGAACCCACCCTCAGATTTTTCTACCATATGTTTTACTTTTTTTTTTTTTTTTTGAGAGAGATTTTTGCTATAGGGCACATGCGCTCGCCAGAGAGACAGAAAGCGAGAAATCACCCCCCGGCGGGATGGCCATGCCGCAGTCCCTTCTCCTCCATTCTCCTCTCGGGATCTTGAGCACGCACGCACATGTGCCCGGCGTGAGTTTAAGCTACCAGGTCCGGGACTTGAACCGTGGTCGACTACATGGGAGTTCAGCAACATAGCCGTTACGCTAACTACTGGTCCCTCTACCATATGTTATTAAACAAAACATGGCACATTACACTTATATAATTCAGGCTAAAAACCTGTGACCCAATATAAATCTAAAAATATGTCATGTTGGGGCCAGCAGGTAGTGTGGTGGTTAAAGGCGCTGGACTCACACACTCACACATGGCTGACCATGGTTTGAGTCCCAGACCTGATGACTTGCTTTCTCACTTTCTCTCTCTCTCTGTCCCTCTCTGGTCAAATTAAAATTAATTAATTAATTCTTTAAATATATATATAATGTTAAAAAAAAAACAGTTGTCAATGTTTTATAAACTACCAACTTTCATTTTTAAAAAGTAGTCACATTTGAAGGCATCTCCTTGTAAGGTTGGGAATAATAACACTGCACACACATTCAGAATGTGGCTTGGGGGTTGTGGTTCCCAAGCTCACTTCACTGGGAGACCTTTCCTTTCTGAGCTGTCTGGTCACTTAGTCTGACACACCAATAGCATGACTATCTCCGAAGGAACAGCAGGCCACCCGGTGAGACGGAGGTCTGCCTATGATCTATGTCTTTCAGGAAAGGTATACAAGGTGCTGCATAAACCCCATTCCATTACTGTAGCTGTAGTCTGAGGACTTCAGATGAAGTGAAATGACATTTATAAATATGACTCCTGATTGGATAAACCTGTCTCCTAATCACTGCTGGGTCTTTTAGGATCATTCAAATTCATTCTCATAAACTAATTGGGCAAAGAGAAATGATGGTCGCTCTAGCATCTCCTCTGGCATCTGTAAAGACCAAGTCAGTGTGATATGACTGCCTTCTCCACATTTGCTCCTAAATAGCAGTTTACCAAACTCAAGCTGACGTAAGAGTTGGTTGGCATAAGTGGACTACAAAACACAAATACAACGAGATGTCATAACTTCTTTATATGAGTAGTGATTATGTGAGTATCAACAGATGGCCACTCTGTTTTTCAGCAAATAATTCATATATGACGACTCATTAATTAATTTGCAGTTCATTTCCATCTAACTGTCCAATAAGTATCAATACTCAGAGTCATTGATCAAGTATGTGAGTGATCACAAGATAAAGGTCCCCTGAGAAACGCACTAGTAGAAAGCAAGTCTTGGGAAATGATTACTGATGAAATCACTCGAGTGCGATTAAGAACTGACTGCTAATTTAGGGTTTACGTATGAATATTTAACAGCTTGCACCAGGATAATATCTCTTTTCAAAGAAATGGCCTCAAGACAATTACGAGAAAACTTTCCTAACATTTTGTATCTTGGGCTCTTTCATGCTATGAATTTTAGGCATGTAGATCTCAATTTTTGAGCGGCTCAATTTCTTTTCTAATTTAATCACTTCAGTCCTAGGAGGAAGCTCGTAAGGCTTGGTTTGCTTATGTAGTTTCTCCTCTCTTTTCTTCATAACTTCTTGGAAGTGTTTTTTCTCCTCTAATTCCTTGTCTTCAAGTTCTTTGGCTTCACATATTTCATTTTCTTTCTGCCGAATCTTCAGCTCTTCCTGCCACTGTTACAGAGAAAAACAAACACAAAATCTTTATATATGATTGTCCATGAAAAAATATATATTGGTTTAGCTTCTCAAAATGCAGATCCTTATATCCAATTATTTTCTTTTCTTAATGTTTTTTTTTTACAGACATTCCTCAGAAGTCTTATATTCTACCAGATTGGAAAAATAGAAGAACCACCTTTTAGAATGTTTATAAGTTCCACAAAAACAGAACTCCCTTTCAATGTATTTTTAAAGATAACAAATCAACCACCAAAGAGATAATAGGGTTTATTTTTCTCTATCTCAATGGATTTCATTTTCTTCATCGACATTTACATAACAGCAAGGGCCACAAAATGAAAAGCCAAGCTGAAGCGAATCAAGTAGAAGAAACAACAGAAGATACAAATTAAAATGAAAGGGGAAAATTGGGTAGTATTTCACATGGGGTTGAAAATGAATCTAATAACCAAAAACATGCTTACTTTGCAGCAGGCTGGTAAAAAGACTTTTAAGGGATTAGTCTCTGCTGAGTACAAAGTTAGTTGGTAAAAACAACAACATATCTGAAGGCGAGATGCCAAGGGGTGAGTAACCCATGTTAGATCACCCAGACATCATCATAAGACACTCCCCCCTCTGATCCATTCGGTGAGGGACATGTAACATGAGATGCTAAACCCTCTTCAGGCTTAGTACAATGTTCAGAGGAAATATTGGAAACACCTAGAAATACTGTCTACCTGACCCTTTTGGTCACCCTCCGTATATTCAAAAATGATGAGACTAAAAATAGCAATCTACAGGATAATTTACAGGTGACTAAGTATACCAGTGCAGTGAGTCAGGGCGACTATTTCTCATCTGGGATGGATAGATAATAAGCAAATAAGCACAGTTAAACCTCAGGGTTCATATTATGTCACTCGGCCTTGTAAAATGTCAGCATTCCCAAACGAGTGAAAATACTGAAAATCAAAACATGATAATATCACGCCCACTTAATTTATCCCCAGTTAAGTTTGAATGACATAAGAAATACAAAACATACTTTCATTTATCTTGAGACTGTATCTACACATCATTATTGCTCACATTTGGTTTCCCAGAAATCATTTTTGCATGTATACACAAAAAATGGAAGCAAACCATCTACAATATTCAGGCACAGGCCAAAAGCCATGCTATGGGTTCTGTGATACTCAACCACACACATTAATTTTTTTCTCCTATAATAAACTAAATAGTAATCTAACTACATAGCAAAACTACCAATTTTATGTTTTGGCAGAAAAGTATCAGTTGGTATAATAATGATAGTATCTATAAATAAAGCACCTAATCCACCTTAAATGAAATATTTCAACGTATCTCATGGCTTTGCTTTTTATTTTGTGAAAAAGCAGTAGAGGATTCATTTTTAAGAACTGTCAGTAGGGAAGAATTGTTTGGTTTCCTAAACAGCGTGTGTAATAGAATCAAGCTGTGCGAAGGGAGCCAGGAAGTATCACATCACCATTGTCCAGGAGACAGTTCCTTCTCCTTCCCCCATGCCCCCCGTCCTTAGCATGCAGTATGGCCAGAATTCACCATAACATCAGAACCTTCTTTTCATCAGGCCCAAAGAAAGTAAACGGTGTTTTTTTTTTGGTCTCCATTGACCATGATAAGCTCAATTTCAATACATCATTACATTGCTGTGACTTGACCTGCTGTCGTTGTTATCTATGGTGGTGGCTATGAGGAGGCAGATGTGTTTGAAGTTGACAGGAAGTGGCGGTACCTTTTACGTCTTTGTTTAACCCACTCACTCAGTGACTCCGCCCTCACACTGTGGAGGACCAGCAATGTGCAAGGGCCCTTCACACGGGCTGAGCAGTGAGGTGTCGTCTTGGCACGCGGTAGCCACTCAGCCAAAGGCCGTGTCAGAGAGAGCATCGCACCTGTGGCTGCAGCAATGCGTCCCGTTTCTTGTGGTTCCCACCCCAATTCTGTTAGGGCTTATGACCCAAGGATTTGAGCCACTGTGAAAAAGTGGAAGGGAAAGTGGGTTTGAAGTCCAGACCGTTCGTTGATTTGTGCCTAAGAGCAACCATTTACTAACCTTGAAACCTGGGCAAGTACCAGTTGTGAGTAATTTATTGCTGGTAAATATTTTCCAGGGTTGAACTAGTGAATTTGTAAAGTGTTAAGAGTAAGTATGGAGCACTACTGCTATACCCAGCCAAAGGAAACGGTGTAGACATGAATACTGTAGAGATATTCAGAAGCATTTCCACAAGCCTTCTCAGATCAATACTATGGATTACTATTTTTCTTGGACTTGCCACTTACCAAACAATTTGGAACTTATAAATTCTCAAACATAGTCCAGAAAGGAATCCTTTGCCTTCCTTTAGGTATTGAATTGTTAGAAAAGTCATAACATACTTTTTCTATATTTTTCTATGCAGAAATGAGCCATGACATTCCCAACAACCCAGTACAATATACGCCAACTGCTGGCAGTGATGGCTTAGATAATGCACTTGCCCTTGGAAAGAGGAGGAGCCGCCAGGGTGGTTAGGAGCTATTTCCTACCCTCTTCTCTGTCACTGAGAACACTGTCCCCTGTCTCCAACTAGCCCCAGGCAGCCGAAAGGCACCTGGTGAAATGTGCAATGTATTCTACATCATCTAGTCAAAATGAATAGGAAAATATAGATGGGGAAACTTATGAACCATTAAAAATCGTTGAGAATGCCCTGGATGTCTGATATATTGGTTTAGCTAAAACTTTATTAGTGAATAGTAGAACAACCTCCTGCCTCTCATCCTGTGATTCCAAGGCATCGTTCAGTCTCCAGGCTCATGCTCACAGCTATTGCTAGAGGCGTAAATATCTGCTCTGTGGTAAATAACTATTCAATGTGATCAGCGAATGAAATAGCCCCTGATTTTTGTCTTAAAAGATCACTACCTTAAATGATGTGTGAAAAATTAATCATGGTAAGATAATCACATTATGATAGATGATAGTGAACTACTGGCTATAAAACTAATTTAAGTTCATTCTGCATGCCATTAAATCCATACTGTAGTCAAAGAAAAAACAGAAAATAAGTACTTTCTTTCCTATTGCAGCTCTACTCCCAAAAAGAAGTGGACATAAAATGATGTGCATCTGGTAAGAGATGCTTGACTAAACAGAGCACCATGGAGGAAAGTGTTTTACGTGAACAGCCTTGTATGGCCACGACCTATTTCATGCATACTGAGAACGAAGTTATTCACAGCCTTTCTCGTCTGTCAAGGGGAAAGACTGGTCACTGCAACTGAGTCAGAAGATTTTTGTTCCGCTATTAGATCTGCACTGCAGGAGAAACCGTATCAGATTCTCATCACAGGACGGCAGTGCTCCTGAGGGAAACGGGATGAGGCTAGCACTTCAGGAATGACAGAAGGTCAACGCGACTGTACCCCAGAGAAGGCCGCGGTGTGCAGGTATTGCTATGTAGATAGGGCTGCGTGATTTGATGAAGTGTGACAAGGCTCGATCTTGGCTCTTCATTTAAGTCTCACTTGCTAACGCTTCACTCTCAGAACTACACTTTATAATTCGAAGTGCCCTTAAAGTACAAAGCGTCTGCTGCTAGTTTAAGAAGTTCAGTCTTACGTGATGGTCGATGATTTTCGTCAACTCTTCGTCCACTTTGGAGAAGTAGTCTGGATATTGAAACATGGGAAGTTCTGATACAGAATGATGTTCCCTTCAAAAAACCACAAGAACAGATCCAGGATTAGGTAGGTACTCTTCCTCCGCAGAAACAGCCCAGTCTGAAATCCTAATTCAGTAGTCAGCACTTTCAGCTTCCATTAGTTTAAAGTCCTGTCAGTCAGGAGCACGTGCTCGCTCTGTCCATGTGCCCTCTGCCCTGGGCCTCTGTCAGTCATCCTGTAAGCCTACTCGGACTTTGCTCTTTCCAGCCATCAGAATCATGAGTTTGTACCCAAACTTCTACTTTCTCTGTAAAATTGCACATGCTCAGGTATTTCTGTTAATGCCACAATGTACCAAAACCCAGCTCTATAACCCTGGAAGTCCCAGTGGAAGCCTAAGGACTTAATCTAAGAGATGGTAAAATAATGATGTGTTGTCAATACTTCTCCAAAGTCCTTGTATTACTAAGAGTGGAACTGTGCTAGACAGTTTGGCAACAGCTCAATAAAGCTGTTGGCAGTACAAAGCTGGGCCCCAAACCAGGGGAGAGTCACTAGTAAATTATCCACATTATTTATTATCCATAACTGTACTATGAAAAATGGTGACAGAGTTGGTCCCCAGGCAGAGCAGTTAAAGCCATTCACAGAGATCTGGATCCCATAAGGCCAACCACAGTCCTAGTTCCAGTCTTAGCAGCTTCAAAAATACACCAGGCATGTGTGCACGTGTGCCCCAAATCCTGACAGGATGGAGAAATGGGGGGAAAAGGACTGCAGTGTGGCCACGCCTCAGTGAGAGCTCTCTCGCTCTCTCGCTCTCTCTCTCTCTCTCTCGCACATGTGCCTCTGTCAATGTAAATAACTCTTTAAAAGGCAAAATGAAAATTATATGAGACCAGGAATACGTGAAACAAGAATTTTGTGGGAGAAGATGGTTTTAAGGAAAAGAAAGATTTAAAGAAGAAAAATCTTAGAGACTGACGAGGGATGACCAGTGACAAATTTCCATATCCAAGAAAGTTTTATCATTTTTTTAGTTCAAAATAGCTAACATTAATCTTTTTGCAGGTTGCTGCCTATACATCCCAGCGAGCTCTGCATTCTCGACATCCTACGTTCTCTTATGACACCAGACCCTCTTGCTCTATGCTGGACTACATGCTTCTCGAATTTTTCCAGGTTTGTCCCCACCATCGCCTAGTCTAGACTCTCATCATCTCTCACTTGGGACGAAGGCCTCCTTTGGGAAACCTTAAATCCACCACTTCTTACTCATTTCATTCTCATCTCTATTCAGTAGCCAGCATTTGGGTTTTAAAATACAAAACGCATCATGTCAGTGCTGTCTCAACTGTTCGTTATCTTCCCGTTACCGTCAGGATTGAGATCGCATCTGTTAAGAAAGCCCGAGAGGGACTGTGCATTCGCTAAGTGGCCCTGCGTGGTTTCTCCATGCTTATTTCTTGGCTCTTGTTGCCCGGGTCCATGCGTCCCTCACACACAGGTGTTCGGGTGATGCTACAGCATACCATTTATTTTGTCAGAAAGTGTACGCACTCAGCAGAGAGAAACAGAAAAGAGGGAAGAGAAAGAGAGGAAGCACCCCCAATGCAGAATGGTCATGCCTTAGTACCTCTTCAGTTCTTCATGCTCATGAGCCCAGTGTTTTTTAAGCGCTGGGGCTAGGATTTGAATCACATGGACAGCCATGCAGAATCTAGCTCCCTTAATCATCAGGCCATTGGTTAGCTCTATTTTCTCTTTCTTCATGCCTGTCTCCACTCCTGCTACCCTTGCTACAGGGCGGGTTAATACCTATGCATCTTTCAGCTTTCAACTCAGGTCCACTACCATAAGCTCTCAATCCACCACGGGCCTTGCCCCTGTTACACTTAGCCCAGTTGTAATTTACATGTATCACGTGAGTGTGAGTTTTATGTTTTCCTGACCAGAATATGAGCTGTGTGGTCATGGAGACTCTTAGCTGTTCACTCATTATCATCTCTTCAGGGCCCAATGTAGTGCCACAAGACACTTATTGAATGTTGGCCTGTTTGTGGAATGATTGACTGAGTAAACGAAAGTGACGGTTTGCTTTCCTCCCCTTTATTCTCCAAGCTCTCAAGAAAGACTCTGCACACAACACTGTGTCAGTGAAGGAGCACCCCATATGGCAGGAGGAGGCGATCTCCGGAGACAAGCTGCAAAGTGGGGTTGACAGCAGTTCAAAGACAAAGACTGCAGTGACACGTGAACGGGCAAAACGGAGCCCTCAGCCAACCTATGCTGTTCACAAATATCGCAAGGCAGAGCGATGAGCTTCCTACCGCAGGCAGAAGCGGACTCTGGCCACTTTGTCTATCTATCTATTTACTTATTTACTTTGTCTATCTATTTATTTATTTACTTTGAAACACTGTTATTTTAATTTCCAGCCTCTCTCTCCCATTCATAAGAAATGGCATGCGTCCGTACACTCCGCAAAGTTACTAAAACGGTTAAGTGAGGTACTGCATAACTAGTACACGGCAAGCGTTTAGTACTAACCTCTCTGACTGCTTGTATTTCTAGCAACTAGCATAACGCTGAGTGAACGAAGAGGCACAGTTAACAAATCTTTTGGGGTTTCTTACTGGTTATCTTCTTCTCTGGCATCATCCTAAATACCGTCATGCACTCTGAAGGACAGAGACCCAGCTAGGAAACATGTCCGTGGGTGATCCTGCCGTAATGCACATGTCAGTGTACTTCCACAGCCTGGAAGGGAGCCTAGCACACACCTAGGCCCCGGGGCACAGCCTATTATAATCTATGGGACTGCTGCTCTGTGGGCAATAAAGCCACTGCAGCCTGAAATGCCCTTACACTGTACCTGACTATTTCTAAGTTAACCATATCAACACTTTTCCCTACCGAAAAGAGCACAGTAACTGTAAAGAAAAACGAGACTCTGTTACCACCTGAAGTTGCCACTTGTCTAGTAATAATCGTAGCAGACTTTAGCACACGGAATATGAGTACAAGCAGTGATCATTTCAAGTCACCAGCCCAGAAGGGGAAATGGAAGTTTTACTCTTCTCAGCACATGAAGGACTATTAGAAATATTGCCAGCTGATGTAATTAGGACTTACCTTGTTCCTTTTCGACTTTCATCCAAAGCCCATCCTCACTCTCATTCTTTTACCACACAGAATATTACACACCAACATTCATATTATTACCAAGTATTTTCTCCAAAATTGCAGTTAGGTAAATGAGATGCATGTCGGAACTATTTCAGAGGGTGTCTTACAGATAGGGTGATTGTCAAAGGTGCATTTTCTCTCTGTGAAAGTTGTGAGTTCTAAGCTCATACTGTTCCCAACAGCCGTGAGACTTCCCTAAGCTAGTTCTTGGCGGGACAAGACCTTTCTCCTGCACACCTTTCCCAAGCACTTTCGTATCTCTTCCTCAGTTCTCAGTACAACCTTAATATAAATCAGAGGACAAATAAAGTGAGTAATAACGCCAACAAATATCCCTGTTGGGAACACCTTTATAAACTTTAGGGTTAGGTAATATATATTAATAAGATCACTGGTTAAAAATAAAAATGTATCCATTTAAATTTATTGCTAGAAATCTTAAGCTAAGCAAAAATCTTAAGCTTAATTTTCTTCTTTCCTTTTCTTTCTTTCTTTCTTTTTTTTTTTTAGGTTTTTGTTATAGCGTACATAGGGGACATGCACTCACTGGAGAGACAGAGACTGTGAGAGGCGCAGTGAGAAATCCCCCCAGGAAGATGGCCACACTGCACTTTCTTCTGCTCACACTGGTCCAGTGCGAGTTACAAGCCACCAGTCTGGGACTCGAACCACAGTCAGCCATGTGGGAGTCCAGCACCTTAATGACCACACTATCTGCTGGGCCCAGGCTTAATGCTCTTTCTAATGCCTGCACGAATGCCAGGTAATTCAGCACTGTAATGTTGCTCTTCTCTTCCAATTTTATGGACCTGGCCTCTTTGAATTTTGGCTCTTGAATATTAAAGGAAAATACGACCCTAAGAATCTAAAATCATTTAAACAATAAAAGTATTTAAGAGAGTCACCTTGAATTCCTGCTCAGAAAAAATAAATGTTTAAATATTTTTAAATGGGGAAAAGACAGTTACAAAACCTTTCAGTTTTAAGTGGATATGCTTACGTATCTCTGATTTCTAGTTACCTCAGTTCAATAGTTTGAACTAGAAAAAACACATAGATAACTATTATACCATACAACATGGGACATAAGAGAGGTAAAAACATAAGGATATAAACAGAAAAAATATAGAAAATTGATTAAGCACACAGTTCTGTATTCAGGCAGATCTTGAAGCAAAGTCTGGTTCTGCTATTTACTGATATTTAATCTTCTTGGCTTCTTCATCCATAATACAGAAAAATAATAGTACCTGCCTTATTATGTTTTTACAAGAATTAAAAAGGGATAAGACATAAATCAAACACCAAACAAGTTTCAGCTGTAATATTCTTATCATCATCCTTCCCTTTGTTTCAAGGGAGCTGAGATTAATCTCTCACCTCTATTGAAATAGTCTTGAATAACATCTTTTCTGCCTGTTTAATGTGTTCAGTGCAATTTTTCTCTGGTACAGTGTAACCTAGGATGATTTTATCTTGAGATTTTTACCTTAATTGCATTTGTAGAACCTTTTTTCCAAATAAGGTCATATTTGCAGCAATAGAGAGTTAAGACTTATACATATCCTTTGGGGAAAACCATTCAACCCACTACTCTTTTTTTTTGGAGAGGTTTTTGCTATAGGGCACATACACTTGCCAGAAAGACAGAGAGAGACAGAGATAGAAAGCGAGAAATCACCCCCTGGGGGGATGGCCACGCCACAATCCCTTCTCCTCCATTTTCCTCTCAGGATCTTGGGCACGTTTGCACATGCACCCGGCGTGAGTTTAAGCCACCGGGTCAGGGACTTGAACCGTGGTCAACTCCATGGGAGTTCAGCGACATAGCCATTACGCTAACTGCTGGTCTCAACCCACTACTCTTGACAAAAACTATCTAAGATTCAGAGAAAGAAAGCATTGGGTTCATTTGGGAGTACAGAGTGAGATGGTTGGAACCTACGGGTACACTACGTTTCAGGGCATTGTAAGGCAATTCATCTACTCTCCTGGCCCTTCATTTATTCCAACACTTCTTGCAAGAAGGATGCTAGTATAAGGGAAAGGAGTGGGGGCCAACTGGTGCCATGGTGATTAAGGTGGCTGGATTCCCACATGGACCACTGTGGTTCAAGTCCTGGACCCAGCAGCTTGAAAATTACATGGGGAGGCTTGAAAATCACATGTGTATATGTACCCAAGTTCCCGAGAGGAGAATAGAGGAGAAGGGATTATAGTGTAGCCATCCCAATGGGGGGTGATTTCTCACTTTCCCTCTCAATGTATCTGTCTCTCTTATCTCTGGTGAGTCCACACACTCTATGACAAAAACCTAATACCCAATAATAATAATAAATAAAGGAAGGGAGGGAAAAAAAGAAAAAGAAAACTTTAGATAAAGCCATGTAGGACTTCAAAGCTCACATTGAGGGAGACACGCAAACAGATATCTACTGTACACTGGGAAAACTGCCATGAATAGTGAAATCGGGGTCTCTGGAGCACGAAAGAGGGTATTTGACACACTTCACCTAGTCTGAGGGTGGGTCAGAGAGCTAGTCCCCCATGAGGTGTGCCTCACTGTCTTAGTAGGATGACAACGAGACTGATGAAAAGATGCATTTGAGACAGGCTCCATTTCTTTGTAGATCAAGGATGAGAAACACATACAGATATTTACCACAAAGTGGGGAGGGCGAGCATGGTTACGCATATGTTATACAAATTTTTCAAGTCCCCCAAGCTCTCCGGAGGGCACGCAGGTATAGGAGCACCCAGCAGGGCAGGAGGTACTCCTTAGGAGCCAAGACATGCCCAGGTCTCGGCCTCTAACTCTGCATCTTACACCCACACCTAAAATTCAGCCTTGCAGCATCGACTCCGGAGGAAAAATACTGCTTTCATTCCAATGAATTAAAATGACCCTCGGAATGAACCAATGAGGAAAAGCTGTTGTATGAGTGAAACAAGCCACAGAACCCATCGTTGCTTAACAACGGAATGGCTTGGCCCGTGCTCTACTTCGTAAGGGAATCGGCACTGAGAGAATTCTGGTTGGTATGGCTCTGCTCTCGTACTTCATTTTCCTCTTTGGGAGTCACGTCATATTTAGGAGCTTTCACTGGTTTCAAACTCAACTTGCTCCAATTAATCGTGCACTTATGGAAGGTTGTATTTCTATTATTTGGCTACCAGAACCCTCTCTTTAAACAAGTTTCTTGTCTTCCTTAGTTCTACTGCAGTGCTTCTGACAAAGGCCTTATCTTCTAAAGGTAAGTCAAGGGTATTAATACTGGCCATGTCGTCTTGACGCCTTTTAGAAGAGAAAGGTCTTAGGAACCCAAATCCCTACGTGGTGACATATTGGATGATTGCTTAAACTTTTGAAGTTAAGCAGGATGAAAATAGTGGGGAAAAAAAGGCTGCTTGCATCATTTTGATAGAGCAAAACAACAAAAACAAAAGCCATTTATCAAAAGATTAGCGTTTCATGTTGTAGCTGATTAAGTTTCTTCTCAAGTTTCTCTAAGAGCTTAGCACTCAAATTTTTCTTTTAATTAACTGCATGCTACAATACTAAGGAGTGCCAATCATACTATGCAAATCGAATTGGACAAACTGTCTCCAATATTTAGAGGTTTCCTATTTTTATTCTTTAGGCTTGAAAGGGTTAACAATGCTCACTGTTATTATTACTGGAGCAATAAAAGTACAAAGGAAAATAAATCTTCCTTCTAAGGAAAAGTGAAGACTATGTTTATTTAAAACATTCTTGTGGGACCAGCAGGTGGTACAGTGGTTACGGCACTAGACTCCCACGTGTCCAACCACAGTGTGAGTCCCAGACCCAGTGGCTTGAAACTCATGCCATGTGCATGTGTGCCTGAGATTTCTAGAAGAGAGTAGAGGAGAAGAGGTTGCAGCATGGCCAATCCCCATGGGTGATTTCTCACTTTCTGTCTGTTTGTCCCTCTCTCTCCAGCAAGTACAGGTGCTCTATAGCAAAAATCTCTTTAAA